GCTTATTAAAGGTCCTGATTTGGTTGGACTCCAACTGTTTGGGCTCAGAATTAGGAATTCTAGTTATGATGATGGCTCATGTGCACTGATTAGAAAAACATCTCACAGAGCTACTAAAAAAGCAAGCTAATCACCAGAAACACAGTAGTGATAGAACAGTATTTCATACTTGAAAGTTCTTGAAGATTCTGCCTTTCAATTTATTATAAGACATATGCTCTTAAAGAAGCATCAATGGACAGTTAGTACCTATACATAAATACATATCCAAATATATTCATTATATATTTGATTTCTACCTACAAGTATAATCCATCTATCAACAGCAGCGCGTGGTGTGAAACACGGTACAGTGGGTGTGGGGTTGTGGATATGTAATTGTGATGATTTTCTAATGTCTCAAGAACTTCATTTGCAGTACATGTGGCCCTTTAAGCTGCATCGCTTTGTTTTAAACAAATGAATAGCAGGTTACCTGGTTGAGTCAGAACAACAGGGCAGAATAAATTATAGAAACAGACATGTGTCACATTTCACAAGGAGAAGAGACACTTCGAATTTTGTGTTTGTTGTAAAGAACCAAGTGATCCCACAAGCTCTGTCACTGAAGAAGAGAATTTCCTCTTTCATAAGCAGACATGAAGTTGAATTTGGAATTTTAAAGGTCAAGGGTACCTATTGAAAAAGACAGTACAGCTGACCCTTGAACAACCTGGGGGTTAATCCACCTATGATTTATAGTCGGTCCTCTGCATCAGTGGTTCTTGCTCATCCTTGGATCCAAGCGACCACAGAGTGTATAGTACTGTGGCGTTCACTCCTGAAAAATACGTGTATATAAGTGGATCTGGGCAGTTCAAACCTGCGTTGTTCAAGGGTCAATTGTAATATATTCAATATAGGCATCTTCTTTTCTAAAGAGTCACTCAAAAGATCTTATCCCTTTAGAATGAGTGGCAAATGCTTCTTTTGAGTGTTTATTCAAATAATTAACATAAGGTTAGTCTAGTTTCATACATGGTCTGATTTTTTTGAAGTTACTTACTGTATCTTTCTGTGATCCAGTCCATACGATTCCATGAATTGTTGTTAAACACAAAAGTGATCATTTTCCTCCTCTGTTTAAATTCTTTCCCACTTATTTACAAAACAGAAATAGAGTCATAGATGTAGAAGACAAACTTACGGTTGCCAAGGGGGAAAGGTGGGGGGGAAGGGATAAATTGGGAGATTGGGGTTGACATATACACACTACTATATATAAAATAGATAACTAATAAGGACCTACTGTATAGCACAGGGAACTCTACTCAATACTCTGTAATGACCTATATGGGAAAAGAATCTAAAAAAGAGAGGAGATATACATATATATATATATATATATATATATATGTGTGTGTGTATATATATGTATATCTATGTATATGTATATATGTATGTATAGCTGATTCACATTGCTGTGAATCTAACTAACACAACATTGTAAATCAACTATACTCCAATAAAAAATTTTTTTAATAAAATAAAATCTTCCTCTACTGCCTACAGAATAAATCCAGACTTCCTCTCCTAGTACACGATCTGATCCCACCTAAATTTCCAACATCGTCTCTCATCTTTCCACCACCTCTATGCACACTCCAGCTACATAAAATACCTCCTGACCTATCGTGACAAAGCCTTGCAAATGCTGTACCATCTTCCTGGAATGTACTGGGTTTTTTTATAGTTGCTCCAAAAGATTTCAAAGATTATTTGCAATTGTAACACATCAGAGCTTCCCAAGAGAACAGATTAGCATACAAATAATGAGCCTTTGGCATCAAAGGAAATATTCAACTACAGGGATATATGCACTTATTCATAAGTTACAAATTATTTAAACCCTGGGGTTAAGAAGTATGTGTTTTTCCAAACTTAAAAAATAAACAATAACAAAGTATCTGACTTTATCCTATTCATAGTCCCAGGGCAAAACAGAAATTACTATAGTAACAGAAACTCACAGAAATACATGGGCATCCTAACAGACTTAGAATAGGTTTAATATTTTTCCATGTTCAAAAAATCAGGTTGATGTATCTCATATCCCTACTCTCCTGGTTTTACGGCTCTCGGCAATTCTTCTGATTATTTTTGTTCTCAGGCAGGGCTGCCAAATCCTTGGCTAAGCTTCATCCATTCCAGAGCCAGGCGTCCTCAGTTCGAGCGCCTGCTCTGCTGCCAAGCTCTCCCTCACTGCCTTGGCATCAAACATGAGCCGCTGCCATACAAGAAAGCTACCCTGACGACCAGCGTGTGCAGGGCACGTAGTAATTTCCTTAAATCCTTCTCCTTTAAAAGATCAGATGGAACACGTCATCGAACATTACAGGCCTTTAGTTGACAGTTTGCTTCCACTTCTGACATCTCTCCTCCTCTTTCTGGCCCCTTTTCCTTTATTTATTCAGTTATACAACCGTAAAGTTTAAGTACGCAAGGACATAAAATGCTGGGATTTTCGTGTCTGCGGTTCCCAGAATGAAAATTAAAACATCTGATGAGATCTGGAAATAACTGAGTAATAACGCTGATAAATATACTAAATCTACCCTGTAGTCTACAAATGAGTACACTGATTCTTAGGACTTAAACTGCCAGGCCACACAGTATCAGACAAGTTGATAAAATCTCTGCACATATTTTAGCAGAAAGGTAGGCAAGTTTCAAACTTTTAAGAAGTTTCTGCACACAGGGAGATCAGCTCGGTGCTTTGTGACCGCCTGGAGGGGTGGGATAGGGAGGGTGGGAGGGAGGGAGACGCAAGCAGGAAGAGACATGGGAACATATGTATATATATAACTGATTCATTTTGTTGTGAAGCTGAAACTAACATACCATTGTAAAGCAATTATACTCCAATAAAGATGTTAAAATAAAATAAAATAAAATAAAGTTTGACAAAACTTAAAAAAAAAAAAAAAAAAAAAAAAAAGAAGTTTCTGCAAAATTATGTCAGCCTCTCCAAAGCTCTTTTCTAACGATTTAATCATAATCACTTCTCATTCCCTCCAGGATCCATCTATCCTTTGATAAACTTGCTATCCACTTTTCCAAATCAATGAAACCAATCTGAACTTTGACTGGAATTTGCTGTTTTATAATCTAAATTACTTTGAAAACAACTTAATAAGGCAAAAGATTCTGGGATCTGTTCTCATCAAAGGTAAAAGGCACAAAGCAAGGCATTACTAATACTTCAGAACATACATAACTAAGGAAATCATTCAGCACCATTTCAGGTTATTCCCCCACTTAGGAGCTTCACGCATGTTTAAATGAATTAATTTATTTTCTGCAATTTGCTCTGAGACCTTAAGTGGCCGCATCTGCCGTTGCTTATTTCAGCATTCAGTGCCCTTGTTCTCTGAGTCACCAGCTTACAGCTTGAGTGCTCCAGGTGTATTTATGCTCCCAAAGTATTTTAAATTAGGAAATCCAGTTTCCTTTTTATAAGACTCAGAAGTGATTCTCCACTGTTAACTTTTTTCTTAAGGATATAGGCCTATATTCACAGTTGAATTTTTGGTACTATATTTATTATTAGCCCTGTGACAGTCAATATTTTAGAAGGTCATTAATATTAGAATCAAAGATAGTCACTTAAGATAGGCCATTCTTGGGTTCTCTTGGGGTTGACATTTGGGGAACCCATAAAATCCATCACCATAATAAAACCACTACTTATTACACTCTGTGCCAAGCACTGCATATGCTATCTTGCTTAATTCTTTTGACAGTCCTATGATGTGGTTTTTATTTTCTCTATCGTTAACTCAGTTTTAGAGATGAGAAAGTGTTGGCTTAGAGAAGTAAATCACAAGGTCACACACCTAGTAAACAGCAGAATTTCTTTCAAGTTTCACACTGATTCACGAATGTCTAAGGCATGGGGTTGTGTTTTAGAGGGTATAGGAATGATTAGGACCCAGTTTCTGCCTCTATTTCTGATCTAGGTAGGGGAAGGAACCTAAGGCAATTATACAGATCTTACAATCCAAGGCTGGAATGCCTTGAAGAGACACTCCCAAATGCTTTGAAGATTCAGAGAAATGAAAGATAGCATCTGGTTGGAGGTATACATCTTCAAAAGGCAACAGTTGCTTTAAAGGAGCCGAGAAAATAAGGAGGGATTCAGAAAATGGAAGCTGTGGATTTCAGAGCATCAATAAATGGCCCATGCTAGGGCACCGGCCGTGAACTATGAGTGACTGACAATAATGAGCTGAAGAACATGAAGGATTTGGTTTTCCTGTGGATTGAGAGCCTACCGTCCAGCGCTGGACTCCACAGATTCTGGACACAGCAGGATTCGATCACGGTGATAAACAGGGTTCCTTTAAGACTTCTGTTTTATGGGATCTCTCAAACACCTTAGCTAGACGGACTGTTAAACAGAAAGAAGATCTCTCCCTTGGCAAGTATTACCATTTCTGATTCATCTCAAATACTGTCTCTGGTTCCATCCTAGTGCTGCCTCTTCTACATCCTCTATGCTTTGGTCCAAAATAGTCTGGGACCAGGCAGGGCAGTGTACCCATCTCCACCCCAACCTCCTGCTCTGCTTTAGTGGCCGCTGCCCCTAATTCTTTCTAAGGGAGTTAACTGTAGCCACTCTTAATGAAGCAGATGGAACGCGAGGTTCAGAGGCTTAACGAGGCTAATCCTTCTTTCCCGATTCAATTCCGGCACCTACCACGTGACGCCATCCTGTAGAGAGTTTACATTCAGCAACTAGCTGCTCACTCTGTGCAGGAACCATTCTAAGGACTCAAGATAAAGCAAAGACTAGACAGGCAATGTCCTTGCTCTCATAAAGCTTAACTTTTACTGAGGGGAAGAGAGCTATCGATAATTTAATAAGAGTCGAACAGTAACGACTGCAATGAAGAAGGTAAAACAGGGCAATGGGCTTTGTTGGGAGGAGAGGGCGTGGGTACTATTTCAGATCTACTTACGAGAAACAGTCTCCATGAAGAAGTAACATCTTAGCTGAGACTCAAATGATACGATGTGGGAGATCCATCGGAAGATAGGAAGGCATGAAGAACAGTATTCTGGGCAGAGAGAAAAACAAGTACAAAGAGCCTAAGGCAGGAACCAAAAGGGCAGCGTGACTACAGCCAGGGAGTGAGGGGAGAGTGGTACCAGTGGCTGGAGAGGCAGGAGGAGGCCAGAGCCTAGAGCAGGACCTCGGCACAGACAGGAATGGGGCTTTTATTTGAAATATGAAGGAAAGTCATTAAAGGGTTCCAAATGCTGGGAGACACAGTTTTATTTTGGCTTTAAGACAATTGCTCTGGTCACTTTGTGAAGGATGATTTAATGAGGTGGTGGAGTAGAAGCCCACTGCAGATTCCAGGAGAGATAAGAAGACGGCCTGCCAAACATGGGCCGGAGACCTAAACAGACACTTCTCCAAAGAAGATATACAGATTGCCAACAAACACGTGAAAGGATGCTCAACATCATTAATCATCAGAGAAATGCAAATCAAAACTACAATGAGGTATCACCTCACACCAGTCAGAAAGACCATCATCAAAAAATCTACAAACAATAAATTGCTGGAGAGGGTGTGGAGAAAAGGGAACCCTCTTGCACTGTTGGTGGGATTGTAAAGTGATACAGCCACTATGGAGAACAGTATGGAGGTTCCTTAAAAAACTAAAAATAGAACTACCATATGACCCAGCAATCCCACTACTGGGCATATACCCTGAGAAAACCATAATTCAAAAAGAGTCATGTACCACAATGTTCATTGCAGCTCTATTTACAATAGCCAGCACATGGAAGCAACCTAAGTGTCCATCGACAGATGAATGGATAAAGAAGATGTGGCACATATATACAATGGAATATTACTCAGCCATAAAAAGAAATGAAATTGAGTTATTTGTAGTGAGGTGGATGGACCTAGAGTCTGTCATACAGAGTGAAATAAGTCAGAAAGAGAAAAACAAATACCGTATGCTAACACATATATATGGAATCTAAAAAAAGAAATGGTGATGAAGAACCTAGGAGCAGGACAGGAATAAAGATGCACACGTAGAGAATGGACTTGAGGACGTGGGGAGGGGGAAGGGTAAGCTGGGACGAAGTGAGAGAGTGGCATGGACATATATACACTACCAAATGTAAAACAGATAACTAGTGGGACGCAGCCACATAGCACAGGGAAATCAGCTCGGTGTTTTGTGTCCACCTAGAGGGGTGGGAATAGGGAGATGCAAGAGGGAGGAGATATGGGGATATATACATACATATATATATATATATATATATATGTGTGTGTGTGTGTATATATATATATGTACAGCTGATTCACTTTGTTATAAAGCAGAAACTAACATACCATTGTAAAGCAATTATATTCCAATAAAGATGTTAAATAAAAAGAAGATGGCCTGGACATTGATCATGAAGAGTAGACATGGAGAAAGGAAGAAGTCATCTAGGTTCTTGGTTTGTGCAACTGTGTCTGTGTTGGTTTACTGACATGGGGAAAACAGAAAGAACAGGTGGAGCAAAACCCAAACATTTTGCCGTGGTCATGTTATCTTACATACGGTTCTCAGACATTCATTCAACAAAGGTTTACTCAACAACACCTCTGCACCAGACACTCTTCTCTGCAGGAGGGACAACTTCTAAACAAAAGACATGAAGTTTCTATGCTCTAGAGCAGCTTATGTTCCCAGAATTCCAGAGCAGGTGAAGAAAATCAGAGAGGTAAGGGGTGGAGCTATACATGAGAGAAGCAATGGCATGTAGATGTATTTAAAGTTATAGGCTGTGATAAGATCATTTAGGGACAGTTTATAGAGAGAAGGAACTCAGGACCAGACCAAGCAAAGGACAAGCATTTTCTTAATGAGAAATGAAGAGAGCAAAATAAATCTATTCACGTCTGGGTAACAATTTGTCATCAATTTGTTTGGCTTTATTGACAGACATAGCAAAGTAACCTCCCCACCACTGCCCACTGAATTCTTAGACTATTTAGGGGCAAGTGCAGTAAAGTTATTGATGTACTAGTCTCATTTTCTTCTTCTATTCCTACCTTCTTTATTAAAATTGTATTCATGGGTAAAGTTAAACAGAAAACACAGTTAACTATAAAGTTTCAACTACAAAACTCTAAATAATGGGAAGGAAAACTTAAAGGGCTCATAAACTAGAGAAATTAATAATCTAGTTAATTGGATAAAGATACAAAATGACTGGAACAAACAAACCCAATTTTTACATTTATATAATACTGTAAGAGTGCCCTGTAGGACACAGTAGAATAAACCAAACTAGGACTTTCCTGTTTTTCTTCTTTTTGCACAGCAAATATTAGAAGTTTCATGAATTAAGACACAATAAGAGAACCAATCCCATTTTCTTTTCTTTTTATAATGATACTTGCCCTCACATTATAGTTTTCCACCATCTTCAACATCTGTAAGAGGGGAATCTAAAAATGAAATGCTTTAGACCTTGCCTCATATTAAGAGCAGTAAACAAATGGGTCAGAGAAAAGCATCTAGGGGAGCAATGAATTCATCGAACACTCCAAATCCTCAACATGGTGAGATTTCTACATATTCACTCCTGCACTGCCCACTCCCTAGATAGGCATCTCTCTCTCTCTCTCTCTCTCTCTCTCTCTCTGTCTCTCTCTCTCTCTCTCACACACACACACACACACACACACACACACACACACACACACACACTCATACTAAAAAGCCATCTCTGGTAACTAACATTCATATTCTAAATGGCATCACTTTAAACCATATCAACTTTTGGCAGGGTTTACAACTATTTTCACCCTTAAAATTGAACTTAGCCCTCATTATTCTAATTGTTTTAAAGGTTTACAGTATAGAACTCTTGCTTCGGCATCTTTTACCATAATGCAATTGACTCTGTGTCCCATTACAGAATTCATGGGGGTAAAATGCACTTGCTCATTTTAAAAAGGTTGCTAATTACACAAAACATGCAAGGCTCTATCCCAGAGGACGAGGAGGAAACACAGATGACAGCACCAAATCCTTGAGGCGAATGCATTCTAAGAAAAGGAATAAAAAATCTGCACAGAGAATGACACTAATAGGTAAACATACTGAAGAGAGGTGCACAGCACACTTTAGGAATTCAAAGTTAAGAAAGAAAAATCACATTTAATTAGGAAAGCTTCGTGAGGGATGTGATTTGAAATGGCTCTTAAAGATGAATGAAGATTTTAGTGGGGGGTAAGGGAGAGGAAGATATTCAAGGGAGAACATATTCTGAGAATACTAGGGGTTGGGGACATGTTTTAAGGGAGAAATGGCATGTGTGTTGGATCTCAAGTGCTTTTCACAGGTATTCAGGAGGAGAGAACAAAATAGTCTAATTCTGCTATTGAGAATAAAGAAGAAAGACTTAATGAAAAAGATTGAGATCATTTAGTTCAAAGTCACACATTTTAAAGGAAAGAGAATGAAACCTCATGGCAGGTGAGAGCAGCGCTCATAATTACATCAAAATTGCAGCAGCAGTGGGTCGGGATGAGAGGGAGGCCGGCACCTCTGCCTTTCTTCACTTTGTCCAACAAGCCCAAGCCAGATACCCACCGCCCTCGGTAATGTATCCTTCTAGAACAGGGGAGCCTTCTTTATTTAATTTACCTGTTAGTTAGTAATGTGCCATGCAAGGTATAGGAAATAAAACTTTATCTACTTTATCTGTAGAATATCAGCCTTTGGCGGGATTCAGGTCAACTGAAAACACCTCAGGTTTGAACATGTATTTTTCTTAATTATATGTCAGATTTAAATTGCCCAGAACCTGTTTCTCTCTCCTGGCAGACTTAACACTGATATACTGCAAATAAATAATTTTTTTCGATGGTTAAAAATAAAAATTGGTTATCAATTGTAGCTGGTAAAATCAGAAAGCCTTCTTGCTTTGATAATGTTTTCTAAGCACGTTCTTAAGACACACACACACACACACACACACACACACACACACAAGAAAAGCCAGACTTAGGAACAGTTGAGAGACGAGTTGTTAATTTGCAATTAAATGTGGTCTAGAAAACAGATGAGTGAAAAAGGCCGATATGATTTCTCCAAAGTGAAACCTTGCAAATAAATTGAGAGGCGGCCAAAGTATGACATGGCACTGGGGCAAGCAGGAGATCACAACACTACTAATAAATCATTATCAGAAAATGTTGTATTCCTGCAGCCAGAGCGTCCATTCTTTCTCAGAGTAAATGAGGAATAATCATGACCATCTCCCATTTCTAGCCTCACTGTGAACTTCTGAAGAGTGAGAACCTTCAGCAAGAGATGATAAACTGTAACGATGACACAGGACATCCTCCTTTGCAACATTCAAAGCCACTTCCATACAGTGAACCACATCGCACGAAATCTATGCGAAGAGGGGCTGCACAGCAACCCCAGACAGAAGTCTCCTGAGTCTGGTCCTCTTGCTGCTTCCCACGGGGACTTTAATTGCCATCACATAGGGAATTAAGGGGGAGAGAGGTGTCTCCTTGAACATTAAGCTCCTGGCATTTATGATCTGGACCCGCTTATTTCTCTGTGGCTTCAGAAGCCACAGTTCCACACTGAAGAAAACCTCTGACATCATCTAGCAACCCTCTTGGTATAGATGAAGGATGCGTATGACGTCCTGGGGCCATATAATTCACTCGTTTCACAGTCAGGGCTTGAACCCTACTGTCATCTTCCCTCCACATTATTAACTGAAGTAAATAGCTGTATAAATGTTTTTTGCTACGTTTCAAGGGAAACTCAAGGTACAAATTACACAGAGAGAAGAAGGTAAGTTACATGTTATACAATAATCTCCAGAGAGTTACTTTGTCAAACGGTTTAAAGCGTTGATTTGTTTCCTTTTTTGGCTGTTTTATAATCTCAAAACCAGAAGAAGACCTCTACCCTCCCTTGCTAGTTCCCAAATACACCTCTTAAGCTTGAGAACTTTCTCTCTATGTAATCTGTACGTTGAGTTTCCCTTGCACTGTAACAAAAACACA